GGGGGAGGGGAGACGACGGGGGTGGAATTCGCGCTTGCTCGGGCCCCCCCTTCCCCTTGTGTAGAAGGGAAAAAAGCAATAGTCCAATGCCCTTTTTTCGAGCCAGTGTGATTCATGTGATTTATATCTATATAGGCAAAAAGGCTTTCCTTAAATGCAGCCATATGGCTCTTAAGGCCCAGTGATGTGTAGAGGTTCTAAGTGTGTTACTGAAGAATCCCCTCAAACTTTCCCTTTTTTGTTTATCGTTTCTTGGTCGATTTTCCTGCTAAAAGAGCTCAGTACCTAAGCCTTATGTGCCAACGGAGGAGGAAAGGCGGCTCCTCAAGGAATGTAGCGAAGAGAGTTCCCGGTATAGAGGTAAGATCAGTTTGCACACAGACTTATTTTGCCTTTCTTCTGCCCACAGTTTTTGTTGTTTTCTAAGGGGCCAAAGAAAGCCGAGGTCATTACATCAGCACAGTTTATTATGGAACTAAAGGTATATCCCACACACTGATCTGTGTTAAATCTGTCTGTATTAAATGTTTGCAGGATCTGAAGCATGATGTGATTGCTGTCTGCTGTAGATTTTTTTTTCCCCTCTCACATTCTAGATTATTTCTGATGCTGATAGGTAGGTTAGCAGAAACTGGGACAAATGAAGAATTTAGCAGGTTTCGTGCTAAATTTAGCACATGGGGCCTCTGATTTCTACTGGCAAACAGTAATTTATGAGGCAACTTCTAATGCGTTGTGATTCTGAACTAGCAATTCAAAGCTGGCCAGTATCTGTTTTAGCTTTGACCTTTCCAGCTTTGGTGTTCTCTGCCACTTTTATTCTGGAATACGTGGAAGCCTTTAACTTGTTTGCCAAAGTCTAACCTTTTTTCTCTTATTTTCTGAAGTGAGGAGAATCAAGATCATTAGCAGTTAGGCTGCAATTAGTCATGGTTTAACTGTGATCTCCCTCCTGGAGGACAAGGAGAGAGTTGTTTATTTTTCTGTACATGTTTTGCTGTGAAGTCTTGGCCATCATGGAAACTTGCAGTAGTGTTCCTCGTGGCCAAGAACACCATGAAGGTGTTCTTGCTTAGAAACCTGAAATTATTTTTTGCAGTAATTTGCTAGAATTTCATTTTGAGAGCCTCAATAAGAGTAGTGTTTTTTTTTTCCTCCCCTCCAGCAGCTGGTGCTGTCTTGTTCTTTCCATGTAGTGTTATCTCACTGATGGAGCCTAAGACCCTTCACCGCTTTTTAGGTCTCCTGTCTTTGTTTCATGGTTTTGCACCTGCTGTATTACCTACATACCACTTAAACTTTCTCTGCAAGGATGCCATGACACCTTTAGCCCTTATTGGCCTGGTGTTGTGACTCAGAGCTGTCACTGTGCCAGATTTGATTATTATTAAAGTATTATTACAAATATTATTACAATTTTGTGAGTGATCGTGTGTTTATTCAAATTTCAGGTTGTAACCAATTTGTTCTTGCATACCTTTGTTTTGTGATGGCTTTCTATTGACAGCTCCTATTTCAGAAGTTTTGACTGGTTGTCTCTTACATTTTCCTGCAAGTGATACCCAGTCAGGTTTGTCTTAGTATGCAGCAGCTGGGCTCCTCATCTGGTTTAGTGCCAGCAGAATTGGTTGAAGAACCGCCCTGTTAGTTTGCAAAATATATTTTAATACTGTGTGTTGCAGAAATTCTAAAAATACCGTTTAGCCTAAAGTATGGACTTGCTGTAGTAGATTGTGGGCATCAAAATACTATAAGCATCTAGTGCTTTTCATTCAATTTTCTCCTATAAGTAGAGTTAATAAAATCATTGAGCTTTTTTGTAACATGTACCTCTTCAGTCTGTCTTTGAAAGTAATATAATTAGGACATGTTTAAGTCTAACATAGTTAACTTTAGTGTACTGTCAGGGTCATTACTGCAGTGTTTTTGTATCTTCTATAGCCACGGTAGTCTTAGGAATAGTTTCAAAGAAAATTAATCTTTCCAATTCAAAGAAAGTTAATTTTTCCGATATCATAATGTCCATTGCTTGAAGGAAGCATCCCATGTGCTTCCTGCTGTCTTTTCATATTTTCCTGCCATCTCAAGTCATTCAATATAAAGAGAGTCACTTAAGCAGTTAAGCAAATTATGACAGGCAGTAACTTTGTTAATGCTCCTCTTTTCTTCCTAATTTGTACAGTTTAATCCATAAACCATAGAAAAACCTGCCGTGCTCTGTATTTTACTGATAAATAAAGGTGATCAAGTTACCTATTTTTTAAGCAATGTATTTTTTTTATCTTTAGATTTACAATGATTCAAAAATTCCTAAGTTAAAATAAAGGTTTTTGGGCATCAGCAATTTTTAGAGTCGCTCTGCTCTACCTTAGTGTCTTCTTTCCTAAAGAAATGTGTGTGGTTCTCAGGTTTGAAGTTTTTTAGCTTTGTGCTGTAGCAGCTGTAGCTGGAAGTCAGCTTCACCTGCAGTCTTATCTCTAGAGCTTTATGTCATTTGTTGGTGGCGCTTGTATTTTAGGAAGCACAAAGTCTAAGGGCTGGAACGTTCATCAGCCAGTACCACATCATGTGTAGTGGATCTCAACAGTTAGAATTGAGAATGTTACATAACCTAGGCAGTTTATTGTACATGCACATAAACACACACACACACACACACATATATTGACATGCTTGTACGAATGGTCTTCAGAAAACCTGTCAACTCTCATAATTAATTTTGTGTTTAGTTGAATTTTTGAAAGGGCTGAAAATTGTATTTTTAAGCTACTCTTTTTTTTTTCTTCACAGCTTTTCCTTTGGCCGCAGCGAGCATGCTTGCCACTAGTCTCTTAATTAGGAAAGGTAAAGTTTAAATATACTCTTGTTTAATTTGGAAATTCAGACTTTTTGCTTACCTGACTTGTAGTTCCTGAAAGTAAAGGAGGAGTAAAATGTTAACCTAGAATTGAAATTCTTGGTAATTTTATACTATTTGACAAGTACAGTGTCACAGAGATTATAAAACTATTAGTCTATAGTATGTCATATACTGAGTGTGTTATGATTAAGGATGTTAGATGACTAAAGTGCTTAGTAATTCTTAATATTTTTCTAATTTTATGGGAAAGTCAGATAATCAGTTTTCCTGAATTGTTTTATAGTATAAGAGGGTAAGCTATTACCCCAGTATATGCAAAATAACTGACTTTTTATGTTCATATGAAGAGTAAATGTCCTTTCAGCCTAATTATGAATAACACTACTAATTACTTTGATTCCTCGTTTTCAGGTATTCTAAGAGATAATTCAAGATTTGGCTCTCTTATTAAAGTTGCATGTAAGTAAGAGCTTTATGTTAGTTCATCCTGCATTTGCAGTCTGGATTTTGGCATATAATTCCCGTGCAAGTTGTTGGCTAGTTTACAGGGGTCATCTATCCTTATTTTGCTGCAGCCGTACTTGATGGTAGAACTCTGTGGTCTGATATATACAAAATACATTTCACCTTCCTGCTATTGGTTCGTTCTAATAGGATCAACTCTGGTAGTTGGCAGCTTCTTTTTATCTCCAAATCTTAACTACCCATCTCATATTGCAAGAACCTCTGCAAAATCAAGAAGCAGCAGAATCTTCAGATTTTGCAGCAGATTTTGTTCCTGGGCTTTGCATAAATTTCTAAGGTCTGAAATATTATTGACCACCATAATGTAAGAATTTAACGTTATAAATAGATAGTGTGAGAATTTGCTTTAGTTTTTTTTTTTTCCCCTTTCATTTTTGTGTTAATTATTTTTGTGTGATGGAGCTTTAAGGTGCAACTGAATATTGTCAGAAATAAAATCACGCTCATTAGGAAGGTTGTGACCTATCGGCATTAAAGCTACTCCTCAGTTTATTATAACTGAAAATGAGTAAAGAAAAATGCTTCTTTAATATATCTTCTGTATTATTCTGTATTATGCAAAACTTGTCTGCTGTGTTGTAGGAGGGAAGAAACACTAATAATGATGATGATTTCTTTTTTTTCTCGATAGTTCCTGATCTCTAAACATTGGTAAACATTCGCTGCTATCTGAAACTTTTTTTTTCTTTGAAAGTGATTATATTTTAAGTTAGTAGTATCTGTTTAATATTTCTGCTTGATTGGGCTTATATAATTTCTCTCTGTTGTTTAAAAGTTTGTAAGGCTAAATGATATTTCCTAAAATATTGAAGCAGCACATGGCAGCTGCAGTGAATTCTGCCTAAAGGACTTTTCCAGAGGACACCCTCCCCTCCCTTCCTAATTTGAAGGTCATTATTCATGTGTCTTACTCGCCCCATTCAGGTTATTTTAATACCTTTTTTTTTTCCCTGGATGCTGTGCATACACAATTGTCGGAAAACTGCATTTCATGTGAAGGATTTTGGATTCAGTATAATCAAAAACAGATTAATAAATTAACCAGTCCAATGTAATGCATGATAGTAAAACAGGAAGTTGCCATCTTGCCAACCTGCCCAGAGAGAGCCAATTACTTTCACAGTTTGCTTCAGTGGGAAGAGGGTAAATCCCATGATTTGTGCTGAAGGAAGTGCTGTTTGAGCAGATAAATGAATGAGAGAGGCTAGGGCTGCTTTTTGTTTATAATAAATTTTGTGTGCTTTTTTTTTTTTCTTTTTGGAATGTAAAACAGTATCATCACAGAAACCGTTATAATAAATAACAGAGTTGCTATTGCTTTTACATTTACACATTTCTGGTTAAGGGCCACATTCCTCCTACTTAATACAATTACATTTTGGAACCCAAGGGGAAAAACAAGTGGCAGTTGGAGCAGACAGAGTATTCCTGATGCCAGGGTTGCAAGCAGTACAATCCCAATCGCTTCTGGTCCTCCCTTTTCATGCATTCTGATGGGCATCTGGACTTTGATTTTGCGCTAAAAGAGCTTTCCTCAAACTGTTTTTTTTTTTTTTTCAGTAGTAACTTCATGTGCTGTATGAGTCATTTCAATACTGGATTTTTTTCTGGGACATAAGTTCTCTAAGTTTTAAATTGAAGGCTAAAAGAGCTGAGTTAAGCACTTCTAGTTTCATCCTCATATTGTTTAGGTCAGATGCACTGACTGTCTGAAGCATCTTTCTGAAAAGCATTACCAGGAACATAGTTTACAGGTTCAAATTATGTCTCATAATTTACTTGCACATTCCTACTGCAGGGAAGTGCTTCAAGGAAGCAGTGCATTTCCCTCCCCTTTCTCCTAATTTACTTGCACATTCCTACTGCAGGAAAGTGCTTCAAGGAAGCAGTGCATTTCGCTCCCCTTCTCAGAGAAGAGCCTCTTCAACTCAAGGCATTGCTGCTAGCTTGTGCTTAGACAATATCATTATACTTACATAATGTTAAACAAGATCAAAAGTCTCATTTTTGAGTCAGTTCTTGCTTTTCTGGTATTGCTGATCCTATTTTTGCTGCACCCGTGGATTACCGCAGTCCGCCTTCGATACTGGCGCTCGTGTCCCTCGACGTTGACAGATGTCCTTATTCTGAATAATACCCATGCCCAACTCCAGTGAGGGGTCTCTCATGTCCAACAACATGGCCGAGTCAGTTTTATTTTTCTTGGTTATATCTGGAAGAATCTGGGAGGTGGTTCATTTCCTGGGTAATTTTCAGGTTCCAGGGTATTCTTATGCCTGTAGAAATTATTAATAACTTTTTTCTCAATAGTGTGCAAGCACTGGTGGAACCTTTAGCTAGACTGAGTGATTTACTCTGTTGAGGGCATCGCTTTCAATCCTCCAATAGCAGCTGAGCTATTGGATTTCCGCCCTTCTTGCCACAAAAGGATGAGATCTGTGTATCCTGCTTCATGTTAGCATGTAGTGAGATGCAGCCTCCTTTGTCCATTTCTTATTAGTTTCTTTAAAGGCTTACTATAAATACAGAAAAAGTTGAAAGCAATGATAAAATAATTTTCTAGACTTACCTGGAAAAATTGTGTTATCTGTCTGTTCCTCCCGAAATAAGGGAAACAATAATTTAGCTGATAGCTGCTTACAGCTTGCTTGGGCTGAAACATCTTCTAACATCTCCCAGAGAGATGCTTGCACATGTCTTGGTTGGAAGAAAAGGAGACCTTCTCTTTGTGCTTTATACCAGTGGTCAGCAACCTTCACTGCTTAAGCTTTTTTGCTAAGAATGTCATTTGAATTCTTGTTGGCTTTTTGTTTCTCTTTATCCTGTGAGGGATATGCAATTTTCCCCTCTGCTTATATTTATGCAGTTTGAGGTATCTCAAGTTTTTGATCTACTAAGCAGCTATACCCTTACAGTCCTCACTTGTAAACTTCTTGCTGTTTTTTTCCTCTTCCAGGAAATGGATTTTAACATCCTTTCGAAAATACAAATATTAGGACAGGAATCACTGTTCCAGTGTCAGTCTCATTAGCACACTAGTTCACAAAGCAATCTACCAGGTGAAGATCTTGGAGAATTAATGTTGGCAGTAACTGTTTTTTTCCTGACTAAAAATGCATGTGAATATTTTTAGAAAATACTCCTTGCGCATGAAATAAAGATCAAGTTATTTTTTCTAGAAAGTCAACAGCAAAACTTCTGTTGATTGCTATTGAATCCTTCAGGATCTTTTGTACTCAGACCTGCTTAAAAAAAAAAAAGAAGGAGCCAAGAGATGGCCATCAGCAGTTTTGAGTGCAGAAAAAACTACTTTAGTTTAACCTCCTGCCTAGCAGACCAAAATATCTCACCTACTAACTTGAAAGCATTTAAGATTGCAGGAGTGCAGCAAATCCAGTTGAGCAATTGTATCATCAGAAGATCCTGAGCCCAATCTTAAAGTTATTTAGGCTTTTCTTCCCACCACTGAAAGCGTTGTGGGAATCTGGCTATTCTAATTAATTCCTATCTCAATTTCCAGCTTTTGTTTATTCTCAACTGTTTTATCTTCTATGATAGTAAATTGTTTCTGGATCTTGGAGGAAAATGGTTAGATTTTTTTTTGTTCATCGAGTAATAGTTGGATCATCTGATGCCCGTGTCATGTCTAGATCAGTGCTTCAAGCCTCTTCAGCTGTTGCATTTGTTCTTACTACCGTTTGTAAGCAGAAGCAGTGAAGAGAAGATTGCTGCACTTTTTTGGTCTAGTTTTAAACTGATTTTTTCCTTTGTTCAAGATAACTTGTATTTTATTTTAAGCATTTATGTTAAAATTGTGTTGAATATTATGATGCAGCATATAAAAATTGCTCTTTTTGTTGTTTGCTTCTTTTTAAAAAGTTGCTGGGACGTGTGGATACATGGCTGGAAAGATATCCTACTTGCCAATCTGTAGCGAGAAATTTAAGAGGCTGAAGGATTCCCCAATAGGCGATGTTCTGCGGCAAGCTCAGAGACACAGTTCGCACAAGTAAGGCTTTATTTCTCTTTTAAATTTAAAACGACTGCTTGAATGAAACGTTTTAAAAACTCTAGCAGAGATCAAGGCTACGTTTGCAGCTTTCAAAGGTCTGGAGAGCTGCATCTTCCCTCTTCCCCCCTGCTCTTCTAGATCTACCACTTTCAGACAACCCTCTCATCTTTAACAATTGGTCGGTTACAAAATAGGTATTTTGAGCTCTTCACATACAACTACATACAAATCTTTATTTTCTTGAGTAAAACAAGGAGCATTTTACTCCTTAAAATGTATCACATAGGAAATTAACATCTTAATTTAATGTATAATTCACTTACTGTGACGTGACATTAGAGGTAGCCTCTAACTATGTTAACCAAAATAAAATAGCATTACTTTCTGGATTTTTTTCCCATAGCTTTGTTTGATTGCAGTAGGAAGAGGGTGGAAATGATTTCAGTGTTTATCAAAGGAAAGAGCTCAGTAAACAATATCAGCCCAGGAAGAAGCATGGTGGTCAAACTTACTGCTGTTTGTTTAAATTCTTTACATCTGTAATGTCATTATGCTGTACATATGAGAAACTCATCAGGTTCTTGAAAACTATTTCCTGTTTTGTTCCAGAATGTTTTCTACTTGGGAGTGGTTTTTGGAACATCTCTGTCTTAAAACCTTGTTTCCCAACTGGTGGAATAGTCGCTGGGTACTGAGCAGTAGTCCTGCTGTGTGTGTGCTAAAATGTGTTAAATTATTTATGTGGAACTTGATTATATTCTTAATGTATAAATTGTGGCTTATGAAAGTTTTATGTGCAAGTTCACCTTTATACTAGAATGTTTGATATATATATATTTTTATGGCACCAAACATAGTTCTAATAACTTCTACTTCATATGCCTAGTGTATAAACTCAGGGAATTTGGAAGTGGACATTTCTGTCTCCTTCTCCCCAGTTCTTATTAAAAACCTGTTGTGATCACTACCTGAGTTGGCTCTAGGTGATATCGTGTTTACATGCAATTATCTGCTACACCATTAAGACTCACAAAATTTTAATCTCATTCTTTTCTGTCTGCAAAATATATGTTATTTTCTATATAACAAATTCTTTTTTCTTCAGTTCTACTGATAAATTCAAATTTGTTTAAACTGTATGGTTGTCCATAGATGCTACCCTTTTAAACCAGCAATTGAAGCCATTACACTTTTATGGTCATTATGCAGTTATTAATTGATATATTTTGGTAACTCTGGTTTGCAGTTGCAAATATGTAGGGAGCTAAGGAGTGATATAGTCCTTGTAAAATGAGTTTGCATGTGTTTTAGAAAATAGCCTTTTTGTTGACTCAGGTATATTTGCTGAGTACATTAGAACAGAATAAAGAGTAACGCTTTTTTTTTTTTTTTTCAATTAAAGTACAGCCAAGCAAAGATGTTAAGTAAAAAAATGAGTAAAGATGCTAGAGATGTTCCAGAGGCACCATATGGAGAGCAGTCTAGGGGCTAATCGAGAGAGACCTTCTCTCCTGTAGAGGTTTGCAGGGTCATTCCGAGCACATAATGTTTGCTTTAGAGTATTGAGCATCCGTTTCCGTAGTATTCTCTGTATGATCTTACCTTTCTCAAAGGAAAAGTCATTAATGTTTCTGATTGAAAAAAGTAATCCAACAACTTAAACTTCCATAGTTTCATGTCCTTAGTATAGGTGTTTGCCCTCCCCCACCGCTGCTGTTTTGATGTTGATGAGTCACAGCTACTTTTAATGAAGGATTATGAATTGCAACTTATTGCAAAAAGGCATTCAAAAATAAAATTTCATGCTACTACAGGTTACATGCACACACCCTGTACTGTTTGTCTGTGTGAAGAATTCCTGGGGGAAGGGATTGTCAGTTTTGACTTGTGACGTGTAAAATACTGTCCTTTGGTCTGGAGGTTTTCAGGTATGAATTAAGCTTCTGGGAGGAAGGGAAGAGTCTGGGGGAAGATGCTATACAAATCTCTGTAGTGTTTAAACAAAAAAGTTTTAAAGATAATTCATGTTGTTGGAAAATAATAGAACAAAAACCTTAAAAAGAATATGTTCTTAACGTTCTTAAAAAGAATATGTTCTGAACTGATTGCAGTGTTATTCTTTTAGTTCCATGTCTAGCTTTAGTATTTTTGTATTTAATATGTAATTTCCTTTTTTCTTTTTCAGCCGTTCCAGTCGGAAATCTGAATTTTCAGACATGCCTTCTCAGGCATTTACTGAATCTTCTTCTCAGAGACCTGGGTCTCCACTTGCCTCTAGCTATTCAGATGATTATAGCTCAACAGATAGAGCTCTCTCTAGTTATGAACCTGTTCCGTTCAGTGCTTCCCTGAATGAATCTTCACCTACAGGAATTACTGATTACACTGTACAAGGTTTGGTTTATCTTAATATTTAGTAGTAGTAGTTCTTGCCTTTCTCTTAAATATATCTCTTTAAACTACACGTTTTCATACCTAGCAAACCAGCAAGTATAGTGGTTTTGAATGAAACAAAGTTCCCAGAATTGTATATATTGACATAGCAAATAAATGTCTGAATTATTTTTTGTTCTAACTCTATATTAAATATTTTTCTTTTTTTTCTGTAGCTCTAATTGCAAGTAAAGATTATAAATTAATTAACAAGGTTTAACCTGAAATTAATGTGAAATTAAACCTACAAAAAAAATCATCTTGACATCAATTTTTTTTTGTTTGAAATGAAGGTGAAAAGGTTGTCCTCCTTGCTTCCAATAAACCAGTCTACTGTTTGTCTACTAGCCTTTCAGAGTTTATTTCATTTACACCAGTGGTGTTGCTATAACTGTGTGTTACTTTAATTCAATAACATTAAATTTTTTAACGTAACAAATGTTTTCATCTTCTGAGAACTGGACTTATATTGTGTTCTGTCCTGCAACAGCTGATTATCTCACTGAGAACTAAACTGCTTTTAAAGTAGTGGTACGTGCAGCTGTTCCCCTCCTGCCATATGAATTCTATCCTCAGCTACGGCAGGGGAAATGCCTGATCCTCAATTCAGATCTTGTATGGTACCCAAAGGAGGAAGTTGCTGTTTAATAGAATTAGGTATTTTAGATTAGTGGTTTTTTAATTGTTGTTTTAACTCCTCTGTGGAAAGCATTTTAATTTCAAGGAAAACTTATTTGTGCAACTTCTTTTTAGTTGTTTAAAGTATCAGATATGAATGTATCAAGAAAAGTGTAGTTGTACTTCATCTCAGGTACCAACTGTTGGTAGAGCCTTAAACAGAGAACTAAGATTCTGCATTATAAACTTGAACAGAAACATACAAGTTTATCACATGATGGAAGTGATCGTAATTGTTCTTTAGTTGCAGAATTTAAAGCTTTTTTTTTTTTTTTTTAGCATTAAGCTGTAATGAATTGGTGTGGCAAAAGCTCTGTCAACCTGATGTTACAATCAAGTTTTGGTGTGTGATACCCTTTCCTCTATCTTAGTGTATCTTTTGTTTTCAGAGCCTGCTCCAATTGCAGAAGAAGGTCGTAAGAAAAAAGGCATCTCGTATGAGGAATTAAGAAATAAACACAGAGAGACATATGAGGTAATGTCACCACCAAAGGCAGAAACGCCAAACAAGTTTTCACAGGAAAGGCCAGCTAAAGAAGGTAATATTCTGGTTTACTGGAATATATAGTAAATTAAAATATTAACTGTAATGCTAAGCATAGTTTATAACTTAGGCTTGATGTTACTTACCTTTCAGCCAATATATAGTTATAGCATGAGCAGTATAGTATGAGTACGAGTAGCTGATATGCAATGTGCTTCATAGTTTCATATCTCAAATTAATTCTCTTTTTCAAAAACCTTGATCTTTTGGTAGCAAATTACAGTTCCATATGGCTTGGTGTCAAACTCTAAAAAAACCTCCTAATCTTTAATTTGTGAATATACTGAGCAACCTCTTTTGACAAAGAAATCTCTGAGCTCAGGGCTCTCCTCAAGAGTTGTAGCTATGGAAGGGGGTGTATGTTTTAGATAGCATTGTTCTCTCAAAATAGAATATAGTTGATGGCTTTGAAAGGGGCGTTATTTATTCTTAAGAATTGTTTCATGTGGAATTAAGGGATTTCTATAGTGGCATTGTTTGTAGAAGTTCATTATCCTCCATTAAAACTCAAAGGAAGGAAACAGCATTGGCAGCAATATCGAGATTTGTTTTTACAGTACAAAAAAGAAGCCTTTGCATAGCAAATTAAGAATGTGATGACCTGAAGAATAAGGTGCCATTCAGTTACCTTTTTGAAAAAGTGCTTAAAAATAAGTCCTAATAGTAATTCATAATAATATTCCCTCGAACAGTTTTATTTAGTGTGATATCCATGGAAAAACTTAATAGTAAGAAAGCTCTTTTAGTGTATTGACATGCTATGGGACTAGTCAGTTGAATCGCTGGGGTTTGTATTTATGCCCAGTCTGCTTGAATTGCAACAAGACTTACAGGAGTAGATGAGATTTTATGTTAGGCATAATAATATAAGCAGTTGTATAAAAAACACAAAAGGTCTGAAGCAGTGATGGTGAACTTGGGAACAGTTGCTTATGAATGCAAACCTATTCCATCTACGTGGAATATGTCTTCTGGGTCTTTGAACATTTCTACATGTTTTTTAAATAAAAAGTATGAACAATTGCATGATTTAATTCTGTTATTTCAAGAATAGGAGACTTTCTTTTCTATCATGTAAGTGTAGTAAATTAGACATTCAGAAATTGTTGAAGCTTCAGGTTTGTTTGTAAATTTTGTTTGTTTGCTTGTAGATTTCTGTCAATTGACACTTCACTGATTTTCACAGTGTTTTCTTTTTGAAGAAAATAGTCGCGAATAGAAAGCCTAGAAATGCAACATAAAAACCAAATACAGAAATCTTACTCTACTGATTCATTCTGCAACCCTTGCCAAATTCCATGGCAAGTCTTGCAGCTATGAAATGAGAGCAGGCATTCATTATTTTTAGATATTTGAAGTCTTTTATAGCAAATGCTAATCAACTGTTACATTCTGTCTCTCTCTTTTGTTCCTGTGTGTTTGTTTCTGGGCAGATTTTGAACACAAAAGTACATTGAATAATGTGTTGAGAGTTTGTTTTGTTTCTTACAAAGGTGTATTTGGTTTCCTCTTTAGGACAGAAGGAACAATGGAATGAAAAAATTCCAAAGCACATTGTATTTAAACTTGCAGTTAGGGGATTCTGCTGATGCTGCCTGCTAAGTTCTGGGTTAGCTTCCTGTCCCTATTGGACATAACAGCTTTTACATACCTGTCCATACATAATGACTCTTTACCTCTTTACTCACCCTTCGTTTGCCTGTTGGAAGAGCTTGAGTAACGAATAAGAGATGCTGCTGTTTGTCCTCTCTTGCTGGGATGTGAGGGAGAACTAACCCAAACTTACTGCAGAAACCAGTTTTAAGCAGTTCCTGACTTCTAGCTGCTCGTGCCTGCTTCTCTGCACCGAGGCAGCACCAGTTTGGGCACCTGCACAGCGAAGGGGTTTTTTCAGGAGCGCCCGCCGGCGGCGCAGCCGGCGCAGCTGCCCCGCTGGCGCACGGGGAAGCCGGGTGCTGTTGGAGGGAGCTGCTGGCTGCGCCTCCCTGCAACGTGGAGCTGCCCAAAGCAGGTGCCTTAGCGCGCTGAGTTGAGGATGTTGGCGTCTCGCTGAAACAGGAACCTCTGTGGTCCTTTCCAGCGGCTCTGCCGCAGCCGGGTAGCGATAGCGTTGGGTTTACTGCTGATGCAAGCTGCAGTTGGGTTTATGAAAGGGTGGCTGGCTGCCGTAGCGTGCCTGCTGTGTCGTGCAGGTCCACTCTGCCCTGTCGGGATAGAGTGGACTTCCAGCTCGCTTTCAAGCGTCTGCTCCCTTTCTGCTCCCATTCAGTTCCACACTGTGACAGACGTGCGAATAACCCTCAAGACCAATACCCAGTTTTTTCCTTCTCCTGACTCACTCCTATGCTAAAGGAAGCTGCCAAATAATAACGGCTGGGAAGTGAAGTTTCCTAATAGGCCTTGCTGAATTTTGTTTGTGTTTGAACGTGTTTTTTAACTATCCCAAATCCATCCAGTTGTGCACGTAACTAGATTATGTAGCTGCATATTTATTGTAACGTTCCTTGCCCGCTTCCTCCAATTGTCTTGGTTTCATCCACATGCTGCATTTATTTCAAAGGAATTACAGATTCTGTAGGGCAGGAATTTAGCACAGTAGGCCTCTTGACTGAATGCTAATTCAATAAAGCATAATGAGTAACAAGCTCATTCTGTTCCCCATTTATTCAAAAGCAGCTTTAATTAGCTGTGTACGGTGCTGTGACTGACACTTCTGCCCACTTGCTGCTTTGAATGATAATGCATTTCGTCAGAGCTTTCAGTGCTATATTAAAAAGAAACTTTTGCATTTAAACTATTTCATATGCAACTGCTGTTTTTTCTTTTCCCTAGTTAAAGTCAATAAATATGGCGATACCTGGGATGAGTAAGAACTGAACAGAGAAGCTGATGGAAGATAATTTTCTTCAGTAACTTGAGCCTCACCTATGTTAGTCCTGCACTTTTGGTGTGTTCTGCCAAATACAGTAATAGTTGTAATAAATGAGAAGAAAATCCTGACTTGTTGGAAGATTTAAAAAAAAAAACACATTTAGGCTTAGATTGTGTAATTTTGCATAAGTGGAAAGCCAGGCTAATGTGAAGTGTCATGATTTTAAACTGTGCTGTTCCTTACGAAGAATGAGAAGGGTAACTAGCAATAACTAATGTTACAAATGTATAGAGAAAGATAGAATGTATGTACATAAATGCAATCAGAGATGTACTGGGGAGGGAAAAATTACCAGAATCTTCTCAAATTTCCAAGGCTTGCATTAAAAGTTACCTGTAAACTAATCTCTCACTTTGTTTTGTATGAAAGTGATGTGCTGGAAACTTCAACATGCTCTCATGCTTGGTTAGTAAATTTTGGAGTGGTATTGAGGAGCCAAACAAAACACGTAAGTAGAAATGTTTCAGGGTGGCAGCTATGTTTTCAGACAAGTAGTCTGACTTGACCACACTGGATCTTATAAGACAGTAATTTAAGAAGAAAATAATTCATGAAACAGCAAATACTTTAAATACCCCCATTTAAGTGCAGAAGACTTAGCCTGTTAAAATTTGACAAGAGTTTGAATGGCATCTTGACTTAATTGTTGTGGGATTAGCCGTATTTCTTATGTCATGACGAAAGAGATCGTTTGAGACTGTCTGGGGAGAATACCCTGGTCTGTGGAACACTGTGTTACGTTTGCGTAACACAGCTACACTGGCAATGTTGTCCTGAAGAGTTTTATGTTTGCATTAATCTGTCTTGATCAAAATAATATTGTGTTTTCTTCCATTGACATGAAGGTGTTCTAATCTTCCAGCTGCGACTCTGAGCTGCTGTTGCTCTCACAGTGCTGTATTTATTTTGGTTCTTTGGGTATAGGTGAGTGAAAAATGATGAAGCTAATAGCATAAAAGCATTGCTGACGTATTTAGTAGAGATGAAAATCTACCAAGGAGAAAATTCTGGCCAATCATATTGATTCAGTGGCAGAGCAGCATGAATAAGAAGATTATTTAGGGTAGGTACAGAGCAAATGACCCAAAAATTAGGAGGGAAGATGAGAATGCATAAGGAGCCACTGCTGTTCATGATCACCAGGATGGGGAGCCTGCTTCTGGAGGAGCTGGTCATGTGAAAAGCAGGGTGCTAAGCAGATAATCTTGAAGTTGCACCAACAGTTTATCTCAATGTGATCCCTTCTTAGGGCTGTAAGGGGGGAGAGCTCTGCATTTTTTTTCTTTCTCAATGAAAAAATAAAAGGTGTTTATATAATGAATGTTGTTTTAAAGTCTTAACTCTCTGTGCTTAAGATAACTTCCATGGTGTATACACAGGTTTCCCAAGGTGAATATCTAGTGCTATATCTACTTGGTATCTTCAGGAGAGCGTTTTTTGTTTGTTTGTTTGTTTTTTTTGGTCTTATTTAGGAACAAATTTGGTTTATAATTGATCAGTTCAAGTGCTCTGGCTTCACATGACATGCCTAATAAGTGTTAAATGCAGGAGCTTTTATGATTGTAACTGTTAATCTGATAGCGTATTGAAAATGAGTATTTTGTGTGAGCAGTCCCAAGTTTGGGGCTACTGGGCACCGAGCGGCTTCAGGCCGATGGGAGGGTGGTTGTTGCTGACAACAGTGCGGCTCTGTGTAAAGAACAGAGCAGAAGGGGGACTGCGGGGACAGCGCTTGGACTCCTGTGGTTTAGGTTTAAGTGCACGTCCAGCTGACCCACAACATTCTTCTCTGCATTCATTGACCAAGCCAGCTGTTTCGCTTAAATACAGCTCACTCACCACTCTTCAGACATCAGAGTTAGAATTTCACTGTCAATGACCACTTTGATTTCCAGTTGTGGAATCTGGTTTAATGACAAAGAAGTAGACAAAAGTATTTTAAAGCCTCGAAAAGTAGCTGGCCTATGGGCCTTCCTATTTGTCAGCTAATGTGGACTAGCTCAATTATTTGTTTATTGTGAAGCCAGCCACTCTTATTTCCCACACACACACACACAAAAAAAAGATTTGCATGAAAAGTTACCTCTTACACCTTACTTCAAACACCAGCAAATGAGGACGAATGCTTAGCTATTACACTTCTTTTTTAAAAAAAATCAAAATGGTTGCTTTCATGATTTTTTAAGTCTTTAAAATAAGCACCTGCACAGCCAGTTAAAAGGAGCATTGTCCTAAAATCGGTTGTTACCTGCCAGAGCACAGGAAGAGGTTTGTGTAAATGTGCCACAGTTCTTAGCAGCTGGTAAAGCTCTACCAAAAATCCTGGTCCTGATTATCTTCTCCCAAATTAATGGTCGTGGTTATAGCCCCCCAAAAAGAACATAACCTGACCTTTCCTGGTGTCTATTTCTGTTAGAGTTGCTTGGAGCCCATCTCAGTTAAAGAAAGTGTAAAGGAAGACACTTTTACTTACTGAAAGCTCTAATTGATTTGTGGGAGCCTGGAGAACAGCATGTATTATTTCAGATTAAACTCAAATTTCACGGCTACTTGGGATTCGAAGCAGACTCAGGACTCCTGTTTCCTGGGAGCTGAAAGAGCTGTCGAATGTTTTGCCCGTGCTGGAGTTTCCACTTGGTGCTGTTAGCGGGGTCCGGATCAACCCCCCGCTCGGCTCCTCGGGGCTCGTCCTGCTGCACGGCTGTATTTGCAACTCAGATTTCTGAACTGCAGCCCGAGTAGGTGATCTCTGAAATGTGCTACTTGAGACGCTGGCAGTATAAATATCCTTACTTTTTTTGCCATTTGCCTGCCTATTAAATGGTTTATAGAAATCAATAAATTACGTTTGGCTCTCGATCTTAAGGCAGTGAATGGGACAAGCAGCCTCTCGGTGCTATTCCAACCTCTTGCCTCATGTTTGCAGCAGTTCAGATACGCCAGTGCAACTTGGGACATAAATGTGCTTTAAATTTATACTGTGGTGGTGCTGTGGGACTCTCATTTTCAGGATATAAAATCTTGGCATGAACTGCTTCCGAAAATAGAAATGTAAAGTTAATTCCTTACATGGAAGAATACACATTCTTCTCCCTTCTTTTTTAAACCACAATAGATACACATTTATAGCGCATTAAATACATATATATATATATGTATCAGTGTAAATCTAAAGCTGCAGTAGATTTCTTTAATTCTGCATGTGAAGTGAAGGTGCCAACTGTAGCTCTTTTAGGCTAAACAGCATTTACAGTAGCGTAACCGGCACAGGGAAGGGTGAGGGTGGCTGCGACAGCTGAACTCCCAGCACATCAGTGAGCGACCCGGAAAGGAGGCGCTTGCACCACGGCAGGAGGGAGCGCAAGGCCAGAGGGAGAAGGCCCTGGAAGGGGGCTGAGAGGTCGGAACCCAAAGGTTGTGAGGAGAAGGCCCTGGAAGGAGGCTGAGAGGCCGGAGCCCGAAGGCCGTGAGGAGAAGGCCCTGGAAGGGGGCTGAGAGGCCGGAACCCAAAGGCTGTGAGGAGAAGGCCCTGGAAGGGGGCTGAGAGGCCGGAACCCAAAGGCTGTGAGGAGAAGGCCCTGGAAGGGGGCTGAGAGGCCGGAACCCAAAGGCTGTGAGGAGAAGGCCCTGGAAGGGGGCTGAGAGGCCGGAACCCAAAGGCTGTGAGGAGAAGGCCCTGGAAGGGGGCTGAGAGGCCGGAACCCAAAGGCTGTGAGGAGAAGGCCCTGGAAGGGGGCTGAGAGGCCGGAACCCAAAGGCTGTGAGGAGAAGGCCCTGGAAGGGGGCTGAGAGGCCGGAACCCAAAGGCTGTGAGGAGAAGGCCCTGGAAGGGGGCTGAGAGGCCGCCTGGCGGAGCAGCTGCCACCTGCGCGTGCTGCTGGCTCGAAGCCCAGCCCGGACAAGGGGCGCTTTGTGCCGAGCGCCGCAGCGCCCTGTCACGAGCTGCTTCAGTCAAGGAGCCAGGCAGGAGGATGGCAGCGGTTCAATAACAGGCGTTTGCTGCCAGGGAAGGTTTCAGGAGTTTATTTTGAAACCCTGCACATCTGACAACCCTCTGGGGCGCAGGCTGTAAGGCTGGGCTTGGGCACTTCGGTTGTAGCAAATCTCAGGCCATGGCTGATGCAAATGATGGGTAGGTTTAAAATGCACCTCTGTGATGAAGGCTGAAACTGTATCTCATTCTGAGCTACCTGAGCTTGCCGGTGCACCTAGCCTGGGCAGCACCGCTGCTGAGCGCTCGAAGTGCACGTGTTGGAGACGAAACACTAGAAAGATCAAGTAAGTATTTTGGCTTTTTTTTTTTTTTCCCCCCCTTCTGGAGAACAGTTTGCCAATACCTTGGCTCATGTTTTATTTATGTTAATACAGTGCTGATACACTTAGCATTGAGAAAATATAAAGTGGGTTTTCCGTTTTGTTTTTGTTTTTTGGAACGGCATCACAGTAACTCAGAAACTTGGATCAATACAATTAGCTAATCGGAGTGTTGCCTGCCGCATAGGACAGATATGGATTTAGAAAACAGGAGACATTTTTATATAGCAGTAAATTTATTACTCCAAAATAACAGGAAGCCTGAGCAAGGTTACATTTAAAACAGTGTTAAGTAGCTAAGTAATCTCCAGCCATTCAGTCACCGCCAGGAGGTACCACTGTCCTCCAGAACAGTGAAAGGAGAGTCCTCTGGCACCCAGAGAACCTCCACCCGCCACGTGTGTGCGCTAACCTGTCCCCCGCTTCTCAGGCACGAGCAGCATTGGGGCAGGTTGTGGTGCTGCCTTGACAGCAGGTGGTAGGGGATGGGGCAGCAGCTAGGACGTGTCACCTCACCAGGTCCGCTGGCTTCAGAGCTGCTTTGGTGCTCACAGAGATGGTGTCCTGCTCTGTGGTGGGGGAACCCTGGCTCTCCAGCCCTACGTAAGTTCCACACCAACTGCCAACAAGTTGCCAACTTGACAACAGGTTAAGCATGAGGCAGCAGTGTGCCCTCTTGGCCAAGAAGGCCAATGGGATCCTGGCTGCATCAGGAGGAGCGTTGCCAGCAGGTCGAGGGAGGGGATCCTGCCCCTCTGCTCAGCTCTGGTGAGGCTGCACCTGGAGTATTGGGGGCCGTTGCATCTCCATGTGAGGAAGAACTTTCCTGTGAGGGTGACAGAGCCCTGGCACAGGCTGCCCAGGGAGGTTGTGGAGTCTCCTTCTCTGGAGATCTTCCAAACCCACCTGGATGCCACCCTGTGCCACGTGCTCTGGGTGTCCCTGCTGGAGCAGGGGGTTGGACTAGATGGTCTCTAGAGGTCCCTTCCCACCTCAACCATTCTGTGATTCTGCGTGATTCTGTGCCTAGGTACACGGCACAGCGCCGTACCCTTCACTCCAACTACTGTGAAAGAGCAGAAGAAACCAACCCAACAGCAGGCATAGCTTAGGGACCGCACTGCTGCTGAACTGTGCAGGGTCATTTAAACATCTTTCCTCTCTTTCCTTTGATGTAGAAGACAAGCATTTCAGCTTATGGCATCTTGCTGCATCTAAGTGCAATAGATAAATTTAATTTCTCAGCACTAAGAGCTGAAGTACACTGAAATTAAAAAAAGAAACATGCTGTGAAGAAAGTGGAGAGTGGGAAAAAAATTAAAGTGCATTGCAAGAAATTGGTATTTTCTACAAATATTATGCAGCTATTCCAAAAGAGCTGATTTAAACCAAACCAAAGACTTGATTTCTTCTCAGTAACATAAAGGCTTGTAAGAAGAAGCTCGTTCATAGGATTTTTATCATCTTCACCACATCTGTAAATTGGATGAAAGGATTCATTATTTAAATTATTAAGCTGAGTGCCATCTTATTTTGCATATAAAATGTGCAGTTTCCTTTTAGTTTTTTCCTGAGAACTCTGCAAAATCTCTGCGGATAAAAGCCCACCCTTGGACTCACGAGCACAAGGCTGATTTTAGCCAGGTGTCCTGCTAGGCAGTGCGAGCCCGGGGAGTCGCAGAGCCGCTCGTGCAGCCAGCGGCAGCGCAGGACACGCAGCGGCGTCCGCGCGTCCTTACAGCACCGCACTACAAAAAGAATGAACGAGGCCTGCTGGGCTTCACAGGTAATGGGAACAATTTTGATTGAAGTATTAACGAGGTTATGAGTATTTTTTTTCTTTCATTGTTTATCAATACAGAAAACATCAAGACTTGATTCCACTTGATTCCACTGCTCAAGCAACCACTGTAACCATCCTCACTTACCCGTGCTCTGGGCTCTTTATCTGAAGTGAGTGAAAACACTGTCAGCAAACCTTTATTGGAGGGTTGCAAGGCACTAAACTAGCCCCGTGACACAAGGGCTCGGTGGAGCTCAGCACCACTGATGGATTTAGGGTGTCATTCACAGTTGCTCTGTGTCAGGGGGAGACTGCTGGAAGGGGCTGGCTCCCTCCCCGTGCTGGCACTAGCAAGCGATCCCTAAGCACAGTCTGGGGCTTTGACTTTGCCCTCTTTCATTATGGGATTAATTTCCAGCTAGGGCAGAGAGCTGCTCAGGTCATATTGCTGTATGGTCTCTATAGCTGGGAATAACTAACTAACTAATCCATTCCCAACTGTCTCTGCTTTTAGAATCTCAGTATGTCAGTGTATTTTAAAAATATCAACATCACCTATAGCTATCTGATTCTTAAGGAAAAAAAAAGGTGGAAATAGAAAGGAGTTACATTTGTTTTCATACAAACCACCAAACAATCCAGGTGAATTCTGATGATGTGAATTAACAAGTGTTTTTAATGAGGCTGCTGCAGCTAAATTAAAAATTCCTCAGAAATGAGGAATTTAAAATTAGCATGAAAGACAAAAACAAAGAAACAAATTTATTTAGCAAACTACAGATAGAGAAGATTTTCTCAAATAATCCTCAGATTTTAATTAAACGAAATCTATGATTTGCACTATGTTGTTCAAAGTTTTCAAGAAAGAAAACCACTGAACTTTAAAAACAATTAAAAATTTATTTTAAATGTCAAGTATGCCTACCTGAGATTAAGATGCTGAAGGCATTGGACCCTCTTTCTCCTTTGATCCCTTTTTTTCTTCACATTCTTTGCAAGTATGATGACAATGCCTACAGTATGGAAGACAAATGAAGTGGGCACAGGGAAGGACAACTGGACATTTGGCCTGATGTATGCTATAAAGGAAGCCCCAGAGGGCCAAGTGATAAAGATCAGGAGACACTTGAGCACTTCACAATGCTAGGTGAAAAGAGAACCAGTAAATGTTCCAACAGAGTTAAAAAGTAAAATAGTTTTATTTAAATTATGGATATCCTAATAACATGCATTACACAATTTATTTTGCTCTTTCTAAAGAATATGTAGTAGTTCCTAATACTGTTACATGTAACTTAAGGACAGAAGAACAGTACGTCAGGACCTGAACACTGAATTTAAATACCAGGTTTTGCTGCATCATATTATCGCTCTCTTTTTAACACTATTTTGATTTAGGACTAGTGAGCTAAATAAGGACAAACCTTTTGTGTGATGGACCACACGGAGCAAGACCACTTTTCTGGAACTTCTTCTGGCATTCTCCTATGTATGACATCTTTCCAGCGGCAAAACCCACGATGCCAGCAACTGTAAAGACATATCACAAGATACTGTTACCATATGAACTTAAATGAGGAGCCTTAACTGGCTCCTCTTTAATCATGCAATGATCTACATGCAATGTCTTCTCTAAGGCCTTCACAAACACATGTAGACTTACACTGTATCGTGGGGATTATTTCACTTACTACTGAAGTGCAGCTGCCTGTCATGAAACAGAGCAACCAGTCCAAAACAACGCGGACAGGAAAAGGGTATCAAATTCAACTGGAATTACAAGATTCCAGATTCAGAGGAGCAGATTGCAAAGACAGTTCAAGGTGAAATTCCATCACAAAGTCAGCACTATTTTCCCTTGCCTTTTTATGTACGCTGTGGTATTTCTGAGGACCATCACTCCAGCACTAGCTTCCCAGGATTTCCAAGAAGCTGCAACTTCAGCCTTCCATACCATCTCAGTGGGGCTTTCACTCATTATAGAATCCAAATAAGAACAAGGATGCTTAAGCATCCTCAGTTTTCTTTGAACAAAACCATTCTCAGATGGTCACAAACTTTGTTTTTTCAACATTTAATAGCAGCATAATTGTATGATACAGTTTGTGTTTTGTTCTCATTTTCTTCAGGAATCCCAGCATAAAATAGCCAGTTAAGATAAGCAACATGAGCATATGAAAGGAACATACTATTTTACACATTCTAGCACCATAGTTCCTTAATACATCAGCTGTGTCATCTGCTAAGCATGACACATCAATGTGGTTAACATTGTTTATTAAACAAGATGAGATTTGAGTTTTGCCATTTTGAGAGGATAGATCAAATAAATATAAACTGCTACAGGAAAAGTTTACATAAAAAAAAAGAATACATTTATTTTTAAACACAACAGAATTCTGCTTTTGTAAGTCACTGTGGTAACATGTCATAAAATCCAAAGAAGGAAGAACTTGAAAAGACATACAGAGAGATACCTCTGCTGTTCACAAGGGAAGCGTAGTTATTTGAGCTTTGCAGATAGCTAGTAGATAACTTTTATTTTAGCATTAGGTCCAACTTACTTGTCATCTTAGGTAATGCCCCAAACCTTGGGTGTGCGGATAACATGCCTGCAATACAATGAAATAGTTAGAATGCTTATTCACTTGAAAGAAAATCACCAGCACTCAAAACCAGAGATGGGATTATTCCTACAAGGTTTTGCACTTCTGAAGGTGAAGCAGATACAAAAAAAACTCTGAAGTCCGCTTATCTAGATTTAGGGACACCAGGACACATTCCACTAGTTCTTCGTGCAGACCTAAGTGACACGAGGAGAATCCTCTGGACTGCACAGCATTCAGTCCACGTGGCAGTTCAGTGTGCAAATCACCTGAGAGCAGCCTGGCTCCTCACGGTGACATCTGCAGCACTGGAGGAGAGGTGATGGGTCATGTCCCACCACAGACAAACCTTGCAAATGCAACAGGAACTCGAATCTGTCATTCAGGGACTTGCTCCTCAGCTAAGAGAAGGTAACCCAGACTGTTCCTCGGCAGCATTCTGCAGCCACAGACCAGGGCAGTGTTAACCTATATCAGACATATCTAGTCTCCTTCTCTGGAAAGGAGACATCAGACCAATCACAGTCATGCTAATCTAGATTAGATATCTAGTGTCCTATTTAGAGGGAGAATACTGTACAAATAAGAAAACAGAAAGATTTTCTCTAGCTTTTCCCTCCAAAATCCACATTCCCCAAGTTAGACCTCGAGGAGCCAGAGCCAGATGCTCCTAGGAGCATTTGTCTGCACCGGGGTGCCCAGCCGAGGCCACGTGGCGGGAGCGCCGTGGTCGCTGCTGCCCTCGCTCCCGCCGGGCGGCTCAGAGGCCCCGGCCCCTTCCAGAGGCAGCGCCCGGTGCTCCGCAGGGAGCAGCGAGCAAATGGAGCAGGGTTTGTTCTGGGCCAAGGGCAAAGGCTTTTGCCCACAGCCAGCTATGCAAAACCTGTCTATTTTAAATTCGGTCTTGGCAGGGAGGGGGTGGAAAAAATTGACATTTGCAATTGTTAAGGCACAATAATGATTGTTGAAATGGGCATTTGCTATGTCACAGACTATCAGAAATGTCTGAGTGCAATGTGGAGAAACTGAGAGGAGTATCCAGTGCCAGAGGGCGGCATATTAGCTCCTGAGAAAAACCCAGAGCCCTTCCTAGCACTCCTTGCTGCTTTCCAAAAACATGTGCTATCCCTTCACTTCCCTCTCACAGCTTCCTACCTTGTTCCTTTTCTCATCTTCCCATTCACCTACAAGCTCTCAGGCCAAGGATGCCACAGGTAAGCTGCATCAGCCCCCTGCAGCAGTGCAGCTTTTAGGTTTCCTGCTCGAGTCCTATTCATCCTGGTGCATCTTGGTTGGCAGGAAACAGTAAGAGCACCTGGGACAAAGGCACCCACAGAGCCAAAAAAGGCTGGGCCCTTCCTGCCTCCTTCACTCACTGCCTCCCAGCACCCTTTCCTTTTACTGATTCTTCTCTTCTTCTTCCTCCAGGCCCTAAGATTTTTCTTCTTTCCCCCCTGCCCATGAGGTAACCAGGGGTTGGTGAAGGCTAAAGGATTCTGGCTTATTTACTTCTATATCCACCCATTTTAGCAGTCTTCAGGGCAATTCTCCTTCACTCACTACCCAAGATAGATAATACGTTCAGCCCTATTACCAACCAAGATCCCCAGAAGGGAAACTTGAGGTGTGCTGAGGAGACCCAGGCTCACTCACTACAAACAGAGCACAATTCTCTTTTGTCTCACTCTGCAGACCACAAGTCATCTCTATATAAAGCTCCCTCTCTTCTCATTTTGGCAGTATTCCTTGTCCCTTTGCACCAAAGCTGTATTCACATTCATATGTGGTCACTGTAAAAATGTTGCCAGCATTTTCCAAATAAAACAGCTAAATTTAAAGCTACAGTACCAGACTCTGATGCCCCTGCTCAGATTTAAGGATGCTTTGCCCCACAGGCAACCCCTGTGAAAACTCCACTAGAGTGTGGTCACATGATCACAGTGACAGAATTTTGCCATTAGTCTTTGAATTGAGTCTTTTTTTTTTGATTCACATTTTTTTTCCAAAAGGATGAAGGTGACTACGTATAGCTAATAATCAAATAATTTTAATAATGATGGCAATGAGTGAGAAGAATACTGATTTTGAAAAACAGAAAGCTTTAGGGAAATCTGCATTTCAGGAGTAATTTTAGAGTCTCAATTTCATAATGTAGGCCCATCTGGAAATAACTGTTCTTGTACACATATTTTTTCTATTTACCTTGCAAGACTAGGCCCTGGGTGACAAGCATGCTCCCAAGAGACAAAGGAAGAGCTGTAAAATAAGAAGAATTAACATTTCTGCTATCAGACAAAATCAGTTATTTATTTATTAAATACATTACTCTTTTACTATCATCTCTGTAAAACCAACATTGAGTAACTGTCTTAGTCACCTATTACATCTGTTCATTCAGAAGACAATCTCTTCAAAGCAAGGATATGCTCACACTGGGCCTCCAGATATTGTAGCCTGTAGAGCTAATGCATTACACAAGCAATAACTCCCAGAATTTTAACATCTCCCTTCAGTTCTGCAAAATCGGTAATGGCAGGAGCTCCAGCTAAATGCTGAAACCCATTTCAGATTTCTCCCTTCAGAAAATGTGCATTTTGTATAAAAAAAATACGCAATGAACTGAAAAATCAGGCACTAGAACACTGAGTATCTATTCTTTTAGTTGCCTTGACACCAAATAAATCTCACCAACTTGAGCTGGGTAGTCATGCTCCCCAGTCATTGAGTGGGAGTCTAAGAATCAACCTGAAGACACCCACTGCTGAACTGCAAAGTCACTATCTAGGCAGATGGAAATGCAGGGTGCAAACTGTCTGTACTTCAGATTTAAAATCATGCGTTTTCTTGCTATGAGATGCCTAAACTCTTCTTTCAAACATCAGGAAGGGGGCAAGGCTTTCTTTAAAAGTAAGCAAACAGTGAAGTTGGGAGAACGCAGCAATATCTGCTCTGCTTGACGGCCTTTTCCCCCTGCGAGGGACTATTGCAGATTTGAGAAAAAGTCCTAGTTGCCCTGCACTGAACAACTCATCTCATCTTCCTTTGGAAAAAGTTTTTCTCCAGGGAGTTCTAGACTGGGTTCTCTCGTTCCTTCTCATGGCAGGCACATTTTGTACACAAAAAAGTCTTCAACCTACTAGAGTGACTGCAGTGAAAGGCCACAAAGATAATTAAAGGACTGGAGCATCTCATACAAGAAGAGGCTGAAATGACTGGGCCTGACCGGCCTAGACAAGAAAAGGCATGGGGGGGAATCTTAGGAATGCATATAAAAAAATTGATGAGGGACAATAAAAAAGATGGAGATGTTTTTTTCCCCAGGAAGGCAGAAAGCATTGGGCACAAACTTGAATACAGAATATTCTACTGAAGTACAAGAGAAAAGAAAAACAAAACACACACACAAAAAAAGACTTTTTCCTTTTTATGTGAGGCTGGTCAAATTCTGGAATGGGTAGCCTAGAGAGATTGTGGAGGTTGGAGACATTCACTTGCCTAGACCTGCTCTAGCTGACTGTCTTTGAGCAGGGAGTTTGGACTAGATCTCCAGAATCCCTGTCAGCCTCCATGATTCTGTTATCCTATGACAACATTAAGCAGGACAGTAGGACTGAAACAGCAGGATTGCTGCAATGTGCAGTGACTAGGTCACACTCAGGAGTACCTGTCCCAGCTTCGATTTATATATGAGTGAAACAACCTAGATACTGAGAAAAAACAACAAACACTTCCTAATTTGATGGCTCTCAGAAAGTAGAAGACAAACACAGCTGCTTTCGTGCTTGGAATGGCTCAAAGAAAAGAGAAAGGGTCCCCATAGGTTTTTATGTGGCATTAACTGTACCCTATGCACAACCGAACAGGTTCTAACTGTAATAGATCACACATACAAAATAGCCGGGGAACATCCATTTTAACAATATCGGTTCAGGAATTACAAGATTTGGACAACTATAATCCTCTCTAGTAGCAGTTAGGGAATTATTTAATTTTATTTTATTTCCAGTAACGGCTAAATACTAAATACTAACTACAGCACTGAAATTCCTTTTGTGAATTCAGCCCTTAGTCTTGCCACCCTCCTAGCTTGATATTTCTCAGTTACAGTTGTCGTTCTTATTCTCAAAACTCAGCACTGATCTACTCACTTCTTGAATACGTTCATAAGGCAAGAATAAGTAAAACATTCCTACAGTTGGTCTAATAACTGATTTCATGAAAAGAATGTCAACTTCAAATTTATCAATACGAATTCACAGTAAACTAGTAAGAGCTTAACTCAGCTACCTTTACTTAAAATTATTACAAAAATAAGTCAAATTTATACTCATACATTGCTCAGTTTAAACTTAGGTGACAGAATTAACTCAGAATAATATTCCAAAAGAAAAAAAAAAAAGTATGTTCTAAGAAATGATAAGGCATTTTTTCACCAGTTTTGCATAAATACATCAAGCAATCATTCTCACTAAGATAAGGACAAGTTTGGACTACTTACCCCTGTACCAGAAACTTTCCCTTTTGCATTCTTCACGGATCTTTGCAATTTCTTCACTATTATGAGTTTGTGAGATGGGACAATAAAACCTTGGCTGAAATGATAACCCTGGGTTAGCTTATTGAATTTTACCTCACAAGAAAAAAAATCACTGTAAGAAGAGAAATAATTTTAAGCACAAATCAAGTGCAATGCAAAAAAAAAAAAAATCCAAACAATGAAAAGTTACTGTTTGTTCTTTAGCAGTGTGATAAAATACTTGATAACCCAATTAAAAAAATAAGAAATACACAGATTTTAAAGATAAGCCATTCATCCTATTGACCTATACTTTCCAAAAATAGTTCACTTGTTAGTTCACCTCTGAAGTATACTCCCTTATTCCTTTTAACCACTTTATTCTCATGAGTTACATCAGCTTCAGGAACAGAAATAATAACGAACAAGGGTAGTGTGGGAGCTTCTACAAACTAAGTTCTGCCCTGTATAGAAGCCAAATGAAGTTCAGGAAAAGTAGATTTTGAAAGTATTCAGTAGATTTTGAAAGGATCAACATAAGCTCTGTCAGATTCCCTTGGTCTAACTTTTTCTCTGTGCAGTTTATATATACTCACGTCATTCACGGTACTCAAACAGACTGGCTTCATCTTTGTAATAATTAGGTTGCCAGCAAGTTTCTTTTATGTTTATAGTAGCTGTTTTTTTTCCTTTTGGTTTGAGTGGAAGAAAAAAAAAAGTGTCACTGTTCTCTCATGTATTCTAGTATCCACAGCATAGAGATTTGGTTATCAGTAGTTATTTTCTTTTCTACATGAGGTGATCAGTTTTGGCACATATATATGATCTGGACATTTAAATAAGTGGAATAGTTCTTACTCCAAAAATTTTGCTCCAGTTTCTCTGACACAGCCATTGTCATGAGTCAAAAGTAGTTGACATTTCTGTAGTGCTTTTCTGTAAAACTGCAACATCTAAAAACTGAACTGTTCTTGAAAGAAAAAAAAAAAAGACTTCGTAGAACAAGCAGTGCTTTAGGAAAAGAGCACATTAATCTACTAAGAGCATGATTTTGCAGCTATAATAATGAAATGTGTTTATTGGCTGCAGTCACACATTTCACTTTAAGGTTATGCAAGTTGATGGTTGCACTGCTTTGGTAAGAACGGACTCCAAACCAGTTTCACAGCAAGGTCATGGGGCAGAACATGAATTTTGTTCATACAGCAAACACAAAACAACCTGAACTGGCTAAGAGAAAGATAACTAAATGAATGTCAGGGTATCAAGTGCACAAACAGGCTCTGCAACCTCTTATCCTCCACAAAGACCCCGCCAGAAGTTCAGCTGCTTACGTTCAAAGTCAGTTCTAAGCACAGTTGTGTAACCTTGAATTGTCTTCAGTGACAACAGCTAACCTGGGAGAAAGAGCTGGGAGAAGCTTTGCCCCAGACCTCTGCTCTTTGGCTCAGGACGTTGTATTTAATCTCAGCCTTTGCACGAACTGTGTTATAGGTGAGACTGCACCCTGGCTTTTAACAGCATGAGCCACCCTGTCTTCCTGCCTTACCCTCAGACCTGCCCCACTGCTAACGCTGAATGATTACCAGAGTCAACCTCCATCCCTGGACCTGTTCTCCTCCTCTCCTTTGGGCACTGGGGGACTGTGTCCCTGTCAAGTACTGCCCTTGCCTGCCTCGTGGATACCCCAGGCTGCCTTCCCTCACAGATGAGCCCACATTGGCTGCTGGCAGTGGGTGGTTAGACACAAGGCCATACCACATCACAATTCCCTTTGGTTTAGCCAATTAGCATGTGCTCACAGTATAAAATAGAAAAAATCTGTTCCCTGAAGGTAGCTGCTTTCTTCAGCAGAGGAGAATGCTCAGCTTCTGTAAAGGACTGGGCCACGTCCCAGTGCACCTACAGTTCCCTTCTCCCCTTCTGAATACGCACACCCAACACAGCAGTGGGAGAGGTTATACTAAACTAGGGCTGTACTATGTTTAACTAGGTCTCAGCCAGTTCTTAACCAGCTCAAAACACCTTCTGAAACATTCTCAATTAGCATAAATTACAGACCACTTTCAGGTGCTTGAGAATCAAACGTTCCCAGCCCTCTGAGTGCAGTGAACAAGCAGGAGTAAGAGACAGCCTTTTCTTCTCTTTATTTATGTGCCTAAGCTAACAGCTATGTATTTATCTCTTCAGCAAGAACGAGAATGCAAAATTCTAGTTAATTCCTGACAATAGCATCAAAAAGAAGAGAGGCAACCCAACTTACCCATCCAACTTGCTTTAGTGGGCCTGTTTGATTTTTCTCTTGGGTTATTTCAGCAGACATTGTCTCAGTCTTCCTTGTAGCCTTTGTTAACAGTCCTGGCCAGCCGGAGCGGTGTGTCCTATGCTTCTTGCTGCTAGGTACAAAGGTAAAAAGCCAAAGTATCAACTCCTCCAGGAAGTTCAGTATTTACCTAGGAATGGTAACACCCACATTG